CCTATTTTTGGATGTCCAGATGGGTTCGCAAGTAGTGTGTGTGTGTGGCGGCGCCAGTAGACTCGATGGCCTTTGCCGGGGCAACTGCCGAAAGCGTAAAATGGTTCAGCATCCAACGAGGGCCTCCTTTACCCTTTTCTCTTCTCGCGCGCTGTGCGCAGTTTTTTATACTATTTCTGGTAAAAACATATAAAGCTTAGCTTGGGAGCCTCGGGAACGCTGGATCGCTCAACTTGGCGGCCCGATTGTCAGCCACCAAGCTCGCAGATGAAACGGGAGACGCTGCTTTGACCATCAAGTGTCGTTGGGTAAAAGGGATAGGATTCGCTACGTCGCTCACTCGATACTGGACACCGGACGCGGCAGTATCAGCGTCTCTCAGTAACTTGGACAAGAGTCTAGGATGCGAAGAGCCACGAGGCGCGACGGGACGACGAGGGTGCCGACGCTTGCGCGACGGTCGTGAGGCATGGCTTGATCTGGTCTTCAAAAAACGAGCGGAGGTGCGGTTCGAGCGCATTCGCAATGAAGTCCTCCATCGCACATTGGTCGGCCGTCTTGTACAAGCTCACAAGACTCGCCGTCACGTTAACCAGCTCGCTGTTGCGGTGGCCGCGGCGCGGCGCATTTTTGTCCAAGGGAGCAGCAACAAAGCTGCGTCGGGGGCTCGCACTGTGGTGCACCATGTACGCCTGCCGCACGAGGCCGTCGACCTCTTTACGGAGTGTCCGTCGACGATCAATCTCGGTTGCCACGTCCTGCGGCACGAGAGACGAGCGGTCGCGGCGTTGCTTGCGGCGATTCACAAGCGGCGCGATCTCGACAGGCGGCTCGCTCGGCGCAGGCTCGGGAATGCGCATATGCTCGCCTGTGCCGCTCTCGCGAGGCTCTCGGCCCGAGACAATGCTCGTTGGTATCGACTGCAATTGGCTTGCGCGGCGGGGGCCGCGTGCACTGTATCCCCGAACTGGCTGCGCATGGGTGTTGGTGGGCGTGGAAGAGAATGAGCGGCGAAGCGGGGCGTCGGGGTTGGTGGTGAATCGGTCGTCTGCGGGCGAACCAACATGCGATTCGGATCGATCGGCGATCGAGGTGGCCGGCGACGGACCAATTTGGACGTGGTTGCTCAAAGACGGCAACTTGGCAAAGCTCAGCGTCCCTGCCATGCGCGAGCCAAACGATTGGCGCACACTTGGCACGAGCATGTGGACGACGCTGTGCCGCAGCTTGGAGAGCCACGGTGCGTTCAAGTCGCTCGCTTCCTTGCGGACGTTGGTCGATTGTTTTCGGTGCTTTTGACGCTCTTCGAGGTCTTGCAAGAGGAGATAAATGCGCTCGAGCATATCGCTGATCTCATACGCGTTGTGCCAACTCCAAAACGCTTGCGAGAGCTTGGCCATGGACGCCGGTTGCAACAGAAGGTAGAGGTTCACGTCTCCACCGGCGTTGCCCAGGACTGCTTCCAGCACCATAGAGAGCACCTCGGCGCACTTGAAGACGGTCGATCGACTCGGGTGGCCGAGCGCGTGCATAAAAAAGTTGAGATAGGACGCGTGGCGCAGCCAGAGGTCGGTGGGCACAACGCCTTCAGTGCATGCACCGTGCAGGCTGTGCGTTACGTCCATCACGAGCTTGGGATCGTGGGTTGCGCAGAGTGTCGTGAGGATCTCGACGTACACAGTCTTGTTGAGCTGAAGGTACTGCGACTTGTACCACTGCAAGAGAAATTGCGCCGCTTCGTACATGGCAACGTGGTGCTCCATCGCGCGGGCTTGCGCCAAGACCTCGAGGCTGCGTTGGTAGAGACCTTCGAGCGCGTCCGCGGCTTCGTCCGGACGCTCTGTCTTGGAGATCCAGTGCTTGTCTTGCACGCGGATGACGTGATAGGGCTGTGTGCCGCGCACAATGTGCCCGCTCGACCCGTCGCCAAGTGGCAACGCCATCATGAAGCTTTGGCCCTTGGACGAGACAGAGAGGCGCACGGGCATGCGTTTACTTCCTCTGCGCACGTCAATCGCGAGTACCTCTACGTACAAATGCGATAGTACATAGTGTCGGAGAGGATACGATAGAAGAGACGTAATGAGTCGTCCACAGCGCACAAGTTGATGCGATGTTCGGATAAAAATTGGCTCTTGCGCGCAATAAGTGTGCGCTCCGGGTTGGCTTGGTCTTTTCGCCACCAATTTTCCGGCAAAATGGCGGCCGCGTCGCGCTCGCCAATGACGACATCGCTAAACCGGTAGTTCTACGAGCATAGGGATAGGGTCGACACAAAGCCTACCAGATGAAAACGTACCTCGACGTGGCAAAACCAGAGAGTTCGAATCGCATAGATGCGGCCGAGCGGATCGCGCTTTGTGGCTTTGGCCAGTGCTTCGAGGCGCCGGTAGATCGAGGCAAACTCGCGCACATTGACTTTGGTGACATCGACGTGGAAGGCAGCGATGGCGCCAACGACGTGGGCCTGTGACGACGGGTGTTCGAGGAGCTCGAGAATCGAAAGGTTGGGGATGTTGAACGCTCGCGCGCGACGGTCATTGAGTGTCCACGCGAGGACCCAAACCACTGGCAGCGGCGTCAGCGCGTAGTACAGCAGCTGCATGCCACCGCTCGTCGAGACGAGGACGAGCACGCAAAGGGACGTGTAAATGGAGCTGGAGAACGAGACGGCGCGAATGTTGTTGGGGACACGGCCGCTACCAATGCACTATCGCAAAAAGATCATCGTCGGTCGCATGTACAGAGGAGAACGTACGGGCTGCGTCTGGTACGTGTACACGAGCAAGAAGGACGCACAGAGGCCGAGGCATATCGTGATCCCAATCGCCGCACCAGTGACGCGTGCGAGGTCGATGGCGTTGACTAGCATTGACACCACCGGGTTGTCTATCAAAAGCAGTACAGTTGGACTCGATACACAATGAGAGGTAAACACGAACGGGTGCGGGCCATGACCATAATGACTTGGAAGCTAGTTTGAAAACGAAAGTCCATGGTCGTCGCCAACGGCTCAATGTGCGTTTTGTAATGCAACGCGCTTCCGTAAAGAAGTAGAAACCCGACGAGGCCACAGACCTACCGCGATCATTCTGCTGCAGCACCCTCCAATCGTAGTGAGTACCCCGTAAATGCCAAAACGGTCCACACACTCGCACGACGATGTGCCGGGCAGCACAATGTGATCGTACCCATCCGGGCAGGACGCAAGGCGCAAGAAGGTTGCGACAAATGGAATGTAGAGCACGTCAAATGTAACGGGGTAGGCGAATCGCATGAGCAGCGCCTCGTCTAGCATCAAATACAATCATCTGACAATGTGGCGACCAAGCGACTACTTTTGGTAGCGCATTGCCGGAGGAGGAGAATGCAAATGCCGCAGAAAGCAGCAAGAAGCACATTGATCGCCTACATCAAAGATGAACACATGCTCTCCTGACGTGAAGAGACCTCGCTCGTCGTGGTGAGCATGCTAAGCATGTGGGCGAGGTTGTTGGTCTCGTTGGTGGCTTTTATTGCGACGAGAAGGGGGGTGCATGTGAACGATGGCCACTCGGCCAACATGGCGCACACCTTGAGGTACCGGAGAAGTCGCGGGCGCTTGTCCGAGTCCGAGCGTCGCTGCGAGAGGGCAACCGCGACGCCTATACGATTCGGTTGGCTAATATTCTGACACCATGTCGGCAAACCTTGGGCGAGGGGATCATGTATCCTTTTCGGGTCGAATGGAAAGAGTTTTGTGAGACCCCCTTGGCGCTGGAGCATTGCGATACCAACGCAGAGCCAAACGAGCCAAAGAAGACCGACGGGGGCGAGCACGAGCCACTTGTAGCCGCACGCTGGCCAGCCACGCTTGCGGCAGCCCACATCGGAGAAGCAGTCGCCCATGCTCGCGACTGGGAATGACAAAACGACTGTGCGAGCTATATTTACTAGGATGACAGTGTGTAGTACCGTGTAATCACCTGTCGGCGACGTTTCAATATCATACGAACGTCTGCACAGCAGGGACGAAGACTGCCTTGGTCGACAAAGCAGTAGGGGCACTATAGCATCGTGGCATCGTTGTGTTCTGAGCTTCACGAGGGGTCCACTGCCACAGCTGCTGGGCCGAATGGCGGGCTTTGTTGAGCCAAGCGTCAGCGCTTTGGATGTCAGCCGCACTCTCGAGCCTTCGAGGAGGAGCATGCACTCGCAACGCAGCGATCAGCTAGTAAGCAGCAACTCACTCCTACTTTGCACAAGTGACAGCAGAGTGCAAACAATGTGTACGACACTTGTCCTTTCGTTGGTCTTCTGCGTTGTGTGCGGTACAGAGAGCCGTTCGACGATGGTATTGCGCTAACCCTGTCATCGTCATTCCTCAGTGTGCCAATACTGTAGCAGGATTCATGAATTTGTTATGGTGCTCACCCAACGACGACACACAAAGCGAATCCAATATGTGACGTGTATGGGTACTTGTTGATCTACCTCAAGGCTATTCTTTGCGGCGGCACCAGCGCGTCCAGAAGCCTGACTTGGCCTCGGCTTCGCAGCACTCGACGAACGGCTTGACGTGCTTTTCAAAAAACGACACGAGGTCCTTGTCGAGCGTCGTGTAGATGTAGTCGTGCAGCGCACACTCTTCGGCCGTCGAGTAAATCTTCATGAGCGCGGTGAACGCGCCAAGAACACCGTGGTTGGTCGCCTTGCGACCCGATGACGAGCGCCGTCGCGACACGACTTTTGGCGTGTCTTTGAGCCACTCGACGCCGTTGACGAGCGGTTCCATGAGCATCTCTTCAAAGAGGTAGTACGTTTTTTGCAGCTCGGACTCAAAGTGGCTGCGGAGCTGTTGCCGGCGCGTGATTTCCGACAAAATCGCCGTCGTCACAAAGACATATTCGTCCGATTTGGTCGTAGGAGCGCGCGGCAACGATGGCCGGAGCAAGTCGATCGAGAGCCGACGAATGCGCTCCATCGTCGAGACCTTGCTCGTCACGCGATTCGTAGGCACGTAGCTCACCTTGCGCAGTGCGTCATCATCGTTCATCGGCGTAACGACTGCCGTCGCTCCTTCCGGCGTGCCCCCGAGCGTCGACGTGCGTGGACCTGGAAAATGCGCCACGACGCTCGGGCGCGGGCCCGCGTCGTTGACATAGACGATGGCGGCCTTGCGCGACGCCTTCCGGGGCGTCTGGCGTGTCAGCGAGCTGGCGGTGCTGTGTTCGCGCGGCGCGACCATCGACATGTTGAGCCACAGGGCCCGATCAAAGTGCGCTCCTTCCTTGTCGCGCTTGAGAAAGGACTCGTGGACTGCTCTCGAGTGCGACGAAAAATCGATCGACTGCCGGTGGTGCCACAGCTTGCGCCGCTGGTCGGCTTCGATCCGGTGGAGGCTCAAGCAGCAGCGCTCGAGCGCAACGCTGAGCTCGTACGACTCGCACCACGTGTGGAAAGCCGTATGGATCTTGCCGATCGACTCGGGTGTCAAGAGCACGAATAAATTCGTCTTTGGGTCGGCTTCGGCACATTCGAGGATCGAGACGAGGACCGTCGCGCACTGAGAGACGGTTTGTTGGCTGTTGTGCCCGAGGCTAAGCACAAAGTTGTTGAGAAACGACGTGTGTTGGAGCCAGAGCTCGGGTAAGAAGAAGCCCTCGGCGCAGAGCTTGTACACCGTGTATGTCACGTCGAGCGCGAGTTTGCGGTTCGACGTCGCGCAGAGCGTCGAGAGAATGTGGAGGTATACGGTTTTGTTGAGCCGAAGGTACTTTGTTCTGTACCACTGGAGCAAAAAGACGCCGATTTCGTGCATAGCAACCCGGTCGTCCATCGCACAGCTTTGCGAGAGCACTTCAAGAGCCATGTGGTGCAGCAGTTCATGGTGCACCATTGCGGCTTCCGGCGCTTCGTTTTTGCAGATCCAGTGCTTGCTTCGGAGGAGAATCATAAAGTACGTTTGCTTGGCCAGCGACCGCTTTCGCGCGCACACAAGGTTGGGGTCGATTGTCGCGTTGGCCACCTTGGCATGGCGTGTTATCGGGCGGCGCAGCTTGGATTTAAAGATATCCGCGGCGCGTGTGCCCGCCTTCGTCAAGTGATGCCGGGTCGATAGCACATCGACGTCGAGCACATCTAGTATCAAAAATGGAGTGGACCCTATGGCGTGGCAGCGTACCAACGACGGACTCGATGCGGGTGAGCTTGACACGCTGCAGCGCTGTGGTGAGCGCTGTCTTGGGTGCTCTCTTTGGCCGGTCCGGATTCTCGCGGTCCTTGTAAAAGAGCGTGCACGGAATCACAAGCGCGTCGTTGGGCTCACCGATCGCACATTTTGCATTTCGAAAGTTCTAGAATATCATGAAAAATGAAAAAAATCATTGGAAAACAAACCCGAATGTAGCAAAACCAAAGTGTCCGAATCGCATAGATGCGACACAGGGGCACGCCGAGCATCGAGTGTTTGGCAATACTGTGCAAATGAAACACGATGGCTTCGTGGTCCACGTGTCGGACCTTGGCCGCGTCCATGTACAAGGCGGCAATGGTCCCGACCATCTTGGCTTGCGGCGACCGCTCCTGGAGTAGATCCAAAATTGAGAGGTCCGGGATGTAGAAGCGCCGCGCGCGCTTGTCGTTGACATGCCACGCCAAAAGCCAAACGAGCGGCAGTGACAGCAGCGCGGCATAGAGCCCGTTGAGCGTGAGCGGTGTGAGAAGGTACACCAACACACACAGTGTTGTGTAGAGCGAGCTCGAGAACGAGAGCACGCGGATGTTGTTGGGGAGGCGGCCACTCCCAATGCACTACGCGACAATAGATGCCTACATCCACGTCGCATCGCAAAGACTTAGTACCGGCTGCATCCGGTACGTGTAGTGGAGGAGGAAGGACACACAGACGAGGAAGCCGAGCGCGACGGGAATGGCGGCCGTTTTCTCTCCCTTGAGCTGCAGCCCGATGACGAGCACCGAGTATATGGGACTGACTATGCTCACTCCGATGATAAGCCATCCAGAAGCGACGAGGAACGTGTACGTGTGCGGGCCATGACCATGATGATCTGAAAGCTAGTTTCAAACCGAAAGTCCATCGTGGTTCCGAGCGGCTCGATAAACATCTTGTAGTACAGCGAACTCGCATACAAGATGACAAATCCGAGAAGACCCACAGCCTAGTCGAATGTGTGAGCGATGGCACTCGACGAGTGTAGGCATCGTACCCAGTAGAGACCGTAGCGGTTCAGACACGCGCAGGTTGCCCCGCCGGGGAGCGGGATGTGATTATACCCCTCGGGGCACGTGCCGAGACGCACATATGTCGTCACGAGCGGAATGTAGAGCGCGTCAAACGTGATCGGGTAGACGTAGCGCCGCAAAAGTGTGTCACCTATACATACTCCTAAGATTGGACTGCCATGGCTATCTCCTTACGCTGCGCCGATGGCTTCATGCCCACTCGCACGCTTAGCACGAGGACGCCGCAGAAAAGCGAGAGCGCAAACGTCACCGACTAGACCAAAGGTTAGCAACCGCAGATCGTTTGGACAGTGCAAACTTCAATCAGCGTAGAGTAGGCGACAAAGATTTCTTGGCTGTAGCCTTGCGTGCCGGCCACGTTGTAGGCGAACGAAAGCGGTGTCGTCGTGAACGCCGGCCACTCGGCCCACATGGCGCAGAGTTTGACGTAGCGCAGGAGCCGCGGTGTCTGGTTCGAGCCATACCTGCGCTGTGCCAGCGCGATTGCAATGCCTGCTCATAGTGTCGAAGAGACGCGCAAGCAATGAGCTACTACCTTGTGCGAGTGGGTCGTGGATGCGCGAGGTGTCGAAACGGCACAGATTTCGGATCGAGCCATCGCGCTGGAGCATGTACAGCCCCAGAAAGAACCAGAGCCCCCAAATGAGACCGACGGGGCCGTTGACGAGCCAGTTGAAGCCGCACGCGGGCCAGTCGGCTTTGGCGCACGCAGCGCCGTCGTCTTGCCAGTAGCACCGGAGGTCACCGGCCATGAACGACCGAGGCCAAAGTCGATGGTTGAACGAAACGTAAAAGCTAAAATTATGCCTGTTCACGGGATCATGTGCATCACGCGGCTGCTCTTCCTCGTGACCGGCGCGGCTGCGACCACGTCCCTGTACGTGGACCCGAACGTCGGCAACGACGTCACGAACGACGGCAGCCTCGCTCGGCCGCTTCAAACGATTGCGAAAGCGCAAGCCGTCGTTCGCAGTCTTCTGCAAGCCCAGCAGGTATCCGGCGTCTACAGCCCGATCGACGTCGTCTTGCGGGCCGGCACGTACGAACATGATGATCTTTGCTGATTCTATTATCGTGCCGCGTAGTCATACCGTGTCCTCGACTCTGTCGTTTGGGCCTCAAGACAGCGGCGCGTCCGCATCAGCCCGCGTCTCGTACAAGGCCTACTGCAACCCATCGGCGCCGTCCGATTTGACAGTGCTGCCGTACCCGTACATCATGAATGCGACAGCGCAGCTGCGGTACCCCAGACGACGTGCTTGCTAGCATCTGACACAGAGTAGGTATCTCTGGAACGGCGTCAACCGTCCTTCGGCGTGGACAGGGCCCGCCGATCCGCTCGCGCAGCTGGGCATTCGTGCACTCAGCAGCACGACGCTGCCGCCGCTCGTGCTACCGCCCGTGTGCTTTGACCTCGTTGGTGTCGGGCACACGTGCTACACAGTCGAAGCGCCGTGCGTCTCGGACTGCATGACCGCGTGTCAGCGCAACGTTGACAAGCGGATTTACTCGACCGCCGTGTACGATCAGTTTTACCTCCTCTTTGGCCGGGTATGTCATAGTGACACGCTGTTGCTCACCGCGCGCTAGGATTTGCGCAGCGAGGACGAGTGCGTCGGGCTCTGTGTGCAAATGTGCACCACATGCGAACAAGTGCGTTGCATCCATATTGTCATGTCGTATGGCGACCCATCCCGATGCATAGCCGATTTTGTCGGGCATGCAGACCATCACGAACGGCGCGTGGACGCCATTTGTGGCGCCCGCGTGGATGGCGCCAGCGCGCCCAATCTACTCGCTCAACTTGGCCGGGCGCAATGTGCAATCGATCTCGGATGTGTACCTCAATGGCGACACACGCCTCCCCCGCGCTGGGTTTCCAAACGCCGTGCTGCAACCCGTAAGTCCCCGCACCGAGAAAACACGTGTTTTGTGTATACTATTTTAGAATGGAAGCTGTACATCGCAATATGCGCCGACATTTAACGGATCTGCGCGCAGCTTTGCTTTCGACCCGACCTCGTTCTCGTCCAAGTTGGCGTATTGGACAAATGTGGCATCCATGTTTATCGAAGTGCAGCTCGGCAGCGGGGCCAATGTATGGTACAGTGCCGCCAGTCTTGCGAGCAACGTGATTGGTCTGGGCGCGGGTGGCGGTACTTGCCTTATTCTATCCCAATCGTGCTAAAGAGAGCATTCTTTGTAGGTCAAGTGTCACCCCAAGTCTTTCGAAATGGTGTTCCGTGGAATGCGACGACTGCCCGCTTTCGCGCCGAGAACATTTTCGCCGAGGTGGGCTTCTTCTCGAAATTTTGGATCTGTCATGATGACATCTCATGCGCGTAGCTGGACGCCCCCGGCGAATGGGTCCGTGCGCAAAAGATGTATCGGGTGCTAAACAACGCGTTCGACTAGTTTTACGACGCGGCAACGTCGACGCTATATCTGATTCCACCAACTGGCGTCAGCTTGGCGTCGGCCAGCATTTCGTTTCCGACTGTGAAGCAGCTACTGCAGATCCAGGGGACGCCGGGCATCGACCTCGGCTACAGTGCACCTGGATACTACACAATTATTACCGCTAATGAGACAGAGACGGCGGCGCCCCGGGCCCAAGCGGGTTGGACGTCCCACTTGACGTTTGACGGACTCACGTTTATGGGCACGGCACGGACCGAAATGGAGCTGTGTACGTCGATCCTCTGGGTGAGATATATTGCAAAAATGCTCTAGACGAAGCGCTACCCGGTCATCCGTGGACCCAAACACGGTGCGTGACTTCCCTTCATTCAACGTGCCTCACGCAGCAGTTTGGCGTAGCGTGGCCGCCGTGTACATTGAGAGTGCGAGGGACATTGTGATCCGTCGATCCACCTTTACCAATGTACTACACAGCTTCCATTATCTAGCCAAAATGCGATGGCTTCATCTAGTTGCGTGGCAACGCCGTCATGCTATCGGGACGCAACCAAGAGATTCATGTGGTCCACAACCACTTCAAACAGCTTGGTGCGACAGCCGTCGCGGTCCTTCCGCGTGGCGTCACAGCCTTTCCCAACCTGTACCGCTTCGAGATCTTCCACACGATGCTCTCCAATATCTCGTTCAACCAAATCCACGACTTTGGCCTGGTGACGACCCAATCAGCAGCGATTTGGATGCTCTCGACCAATCAAACAATCGTTCGCGGCAACTTGGTCTACAATATCCCCCCGAGCGGCGTCAGCTACAGCTTTACCAACAGCAACGGAGGTGTCTATTCGATCCATTTCTATCATGCAACACCATACACGTATAGATGCCACCAAGCCGGGATACCTCTTGCGACCGCTGCCCGCGCCAGTGAGTCCCGCCACGGTGCTGGCCAACAGTTTGAGCACCACGTACGCGGTCGTCGTCGACATTGGGCGGTTCGACATTCCTGTGGTCGCAAAGCTCATTGGTGCACCGATTTGCGCTCCGTCACAAGGACGAGGGGGCGCGCTGTACGGCCAGCAGCACAGCGGGTGTTCGGGTTGCTGTCCTACAACTTCTGGCACGAGTACGATTCAAAACACCGCGCTCCCGGCTGTGACGGGGCTCGCGGTGCCGCTGCGCCCTGGTGATATGCTGCAGCTGCAGGTGTCTTGACTCCGAATCAAGGAATGACTCACATGGGTTGTTGCAGGTGACATCGGCACCGTACTATAGCGCCCCCGTCGATGTCTATGTGGGTTTTCACATTGTGACGCCCAACCGTGTCGTCGAGGTGCCCGGCTGGCGCTTCCACTGGCAAGTACGTACGCGTCCGTGTGTGCTTGCCACAACGACGCAAGTCGTCACCTGTGGCGGTCCCTGTGGCTGTCCATTGACCAACATCGCGTCCACTCTAAGCTGCGCTACCGGTTTGGCACTTGGGGCACCCAATCGTAAATATTGTATGTTTTGAGCTAGGCTACGACCCTATCCCGACGTCGGTCGTCTGCGATGGTACATCACATTTGCGACAGTCGGCATTGTGATGGCAATGTGCATAGGTCCGTATGATTCTTGGAATACGTGCCAAAGCGGCGCGCTGGGTCGCGTACTCTACTACAATTGCTCGATGACATGCACGGCAACTGTGTGCACATGACGACGTCTTAGCTTTGCAACGGTAAAAGGTGCAATGTACTACCATCGAAATACACTGCTATCAAGTTGATACATGCCGCAATGAACGCGAGGCCAATGCTCGTCGTGCAGATATCTCAATTGTTTTCGTCATCCGAGACATCTTCAAACGTATACTGGTCGTTGCCTGCGTTGGGAACGACGGACACGAGCTTGACGTCCACGGGTGGGATGCGCGAGAGCCCTCGCACAAGGCATTCGAGCTTCACTTTTTTCTCGTCGGCACTCAAGCTCGCGGTGGGCCGAGACGTGTAGTGCATTTGCTCTTCGTACGTGAGCAAGTCACCGTGCGGAAGCGTTTCGTGCCAATGGTCCCGACAAATCTTGGCAAACGCCGTCGTAAATGATCCCGTCGCACGGTCCTTGATGCTTCGTAGTGCCACCTTTCGTGGGGATGCGACGGCTGCCGGCGACGACGAAGTGGCGGCTTCGTTGGGCAACGGAGGCGTCCGCACAGTGGAGAGCGCCGAGTCAAAGAAGGTATCGAGAGCCTCCATTTCGATGCTCGGGTGTGGCGGCTGCTCGACTTGCACTTTGGTGTACGCACGTGCCGTCTCGAGGCGGCGCGTAATCTCGTCCTGTCTACACAAGATACGTGTCATGCCACGTCATCAGTGAATGATTGTCACAACAAATGCGTTGCGTCGGCGTGAATCGACGCGAGGATAGCAGTGTTGCACAGGACGAAGCGAAGTAGTGCGTTCTTATTGATTGCGAGCAGCTTGCATGACGAGAGGGTTTCGATCGTGGTCGACGAGCACAAGTCGTTGGAGGCCGAGCAGATCTCCTACCAGCCGTTTCATGCTGTCAGTGTGACATCTCTCAACGGTGCAAAGTCGGTTACATGGCCCAAAATGGACGGTGCACGACGAAGCACAAGCACTTTCACCTACGCATTCCCGCTGTTAGGCTCATCAATGGCTTGAGAACACTAGGTATCACCGGTGCTTCGATTGCCTGGCCGGTAGGGGCCGTTGCACTCACCGAACTCGTCGCTGTGAGCTTGACTTCGCCTTTCACCAGCAGATACAAATGCGATACATAGTCGCCTACACGACCTCGTCAAGACACACGCACCGTCATATCTTGACCATACCTTTTCGATAGAGGGTATCGTGGACATCGAGCTGCGTCACTGTGGCCAAATACGCCAAATGAGTTGTCGTGCCTTTTGGTGCGTGGGCGAGTGCCGGAAACGACGTCAAATTGCGCTCGTTCTCTGCGAGCATGGCTTGCTTGTACGACAAAATGCTGCGCAAGAAGACATCCTACTCCACACGATGACTCTCGTAGATACACACGGGTACACGTACGCGGGATACGAGCGCCAGCTCGGTGCAACTACACTCATACGTGACGAGGGCCGAACCCGACCTAGGACAACATTTATATCGCAAATGCTGATCAATAGACGCACCGATAGCCCGTCGAGCCTCGGAGGAGCCCGATTTCGCCAAAGCTCATGCCGCGTCGCATGGTGGCAAAGAGGCCTTCGCCGGAGGCCGCAATGCCCACCGTGCCGCTCAGCACGATGTAGAACGCTTCGCCCGCATCGCCCTCTCGAAACACAAAGTCGCCCGGCGCATAGCGCGCGTACACAATGTGCCGCGCAATGTCGTTGTACGATGCATCGGGGAGGCTGCAGTCGTAAAAGTACTTGACGCCGGCTAAGAAAACATCAGCGTCTTGCCGACCGGACTAGTGCGATCGCACCAAGCCATTTTTTCAGCGTCCGCGTCGCACTCGGGCTGCGCATGTCGTGCTCGATCTGCATGACGCCACGCAGCGCGCCAAGTGTGATAGCGTCATCTTTCTTGAGGCTCGCACCATGCAGCACGTCTTCGGGTCGGACAGGAAGAAGTCGCGGTGGCGGTGTCCAGATGACATGACGCGTGTGCTCGGCTTGGAGTCTAATACGTCATCGTGCATCAATGGTTGAATGCAATACGAGTATCGGTGAATACATACTGGTCGAGACGGCGAAGGTACACCATGGCAAACATGATGCGATACACCACCACACGAAGAGGCGGAAGCGGCGCGATGATGTCAATAAGCTCAAACCCTTCGTTGTTGGTCGCTGAAATCACGACCGACTTGACGGTCGAGGTGGCCGACCCGAGGCTCCGGTACCGCTTCTTGAGCACCACGTACAGCAAGCTGCCCTCGACGATGCCGAGATGGGCCAGATCTTCGTGGTCTTCAAGTAGCTGCGAGTTGAAAAAGAGACTACTACCAGGTCAACTCTCGGTGAATGCTAATTTCTACGGGTCGTACGTCTGCTCTTCGTACAAAATTCCATGCTCCTTGTAGAGAAGCACCTTGACGTTGGTGATCGTGAGGTACGGCGCCACTTGAAGGTACTCGGGCGCCTTCTCGCCGATCTGAACTTGAATAGCATACGCACTGCGCGAGTGGCTCGAGTGCGACGACCGAAAGAGTCGGAGGCCACGCAGCTGACTCACGGACGTGTGTGCTTTGCCCAGCAGCCGCGGCGCGTCGTCGACGAAGTCCCGCGCCAACGACTGCATTTTTTGTATCTAACACGAAGCGACGCGACGGTTTCGCGTACGCGTATCAACTCGATACAAACATTTGATTGGTCCACGACGAAAATGTATCATATTACGGTCAAAATATGCAAAAAGACACTGGGCGTCTTACTTGGTCGCGACGATGATGAGGTTGATGATGGGACCGAGGAAATACATGAGCACCATGATGAGAACGCAGCAGAGGCAGCACATGACGCGGTGGCAGATCTTGGGGCCGAGGAGCTCGTTGAAGACGTAGAACGGGTTCATGCTGAACTTGAGGCGGCCGGCCGGCGGCGGCAAGAACGGGCTGTTGTTCGGGTCGCTGCGGCCAAAGCCGACCGTCTGCACCTTGGCCTTGTCCACGGGCATGAGCTCCATGCTAATGCAGACAGCACCCATTGCTTCCTTCTGGCCCGTCTCGCGGTTGAGCCGCTCCATCTTGATCCACGTCGAGTCGGTCGGGTCCGTGTCCCAGAGCCCCGTGGCCTCCTTGATGGACCGGATCGCGTCGTTGTTTTGAGCCTCCTTTGGCGACTCCTTGACCTTCTTCTTGGGCGTCTTGTCCTGGAAGACCTGGAGCGGCGCCTTGAGCTGGCACACCTTCTTGAAGTGCGGGCTCAGGTCCAGGATGCCCTCGGCGATGCAGTCGTTGGACGAGAAGATGTCCTTGTCCCACATCTGCATCTTGAAGTACGGAAACTTGGAGTTGTGCTGCTTGTGACCCAGCGCGACCGGAAACTTCATGCGCCAGTTAAAGCTCGCCTTGCCCTTCTTGGCGCGCCAATGGATGTCCGTGTCCTGGTAGTCGCAGCCTTCGAGCGACGCACGCACGAAGAGGTCGTTCATGTCGGTGATCTCGTCAAAACTCGGCACTTCCTTCGTCTTCCAAATCACGACGCGCAGCTCGTAGTGCTGCGCCGGCGGCATGGCAATGTCGACGGGCGGGTAGTTGGCGGCTTCCTTGGGCGTCAAGATGTCGACCCAGAGCTTGAGCTGGCCCATCTGCGCACGCGACGTCGGGATAGTGAGCGCCCGCTGCTCGAGAGGCTTGGGGCCCCAGCGCTCGGTGGTCTGGAACTCCTTCCCGAGCGCCTGCCAGTTCTTGTCAAAGAACCGGTCTTCGAGGTCCAAGGTCGTCGAGCCAATGAGATCGTCGCCGCCGATGAAATCGTGGTCGAACGCGTCGATCGTGAGCGTTGACGCGCCAGGAAAGTGCACGTTGAACTCAAACACCTTGTAAAAGTCGGGGTCGACCACGTCATCGATATAGTTCTTGCGGTCGTTGATCGTCTCCTTCCCGAGGCGCAGGATCAGGTACGGGTCCGACTTGCCCGGCGTGCCGTCGAGCGACGGGTCCATCGGCGCAAAGTTGGACCCGTTCAAGACATACACGCGCACTTGATACGGCAGCGGGTTGAGCAGCTTCTCCATGTTGATGAGCGGCGGCTCGTTCTCGTCCAAAATCACGCGCACGAGACCCTTGAAGATACCCGCGATGTGAAAGGTCGACGTCGGCGCGGCGGCGGCCGCCGCCTTCTTTGTGCCAAACTTAAGCGGGTTGAGCGACGACAGGAACGACGACTTCTTCTTCTTCTGGCCGATCGTCAGCGCATACGTCTCGAACGGCTTGGTCACGAGCTTGGACTCGAGCCCGTCTGTGAGGTCTTCACGGTTCTTCATAAACTTGGCGCGCTTGACCTCAAACTCGTCAGCGATCTCGGCCTCGCCAATGTCGAGCTCTTCGCCTTCCGCGGTGCGCTGGCCCGAGAGGAGCGCGGGGTCGTCCAAGTCGATCGCGACGTTCATGGACTGGAGAGCGCCAAATACACCCGCGCCAATATCGCCGGGTGCCGTGCGCCGGCCCGAGAGCATCGCGTCGTCTTCTTCCGCGTCGTCGTCGTCGTTGCCCTCGAGCTCTTCGTCTTCGACGTGGTTGAAGCTCATGCGCTGCGGCGCAACGTAGCTGTCGCCCCACGGCAGTTTCGTCGTCATCTATCATCGTGATCACGTCAGAAAACCGTTACAGAAAAGGACATGTCATCATGACAGATCCCAACATGAACGTACATCGATGGACGCATTGCCGATCGTAGGCGTGCTCCAGCCGCCGAGACGCGTGTCCCGAACCATAATGTTGAGCATGGGCGCAAACTGCGAATCTTCCGGAAGCTCAACCTCGCGCACGATGCGCTGAAGAAAGTTGGGGTTGGCACCGGACGGCCGCTTGGACTTTTCCGTCTTCATCTCTTGGTTCGCATGCGTCTTGCCGCCGAGCGTAAACTCGATGAACGGCAGCTGGATCGGGAGGAACTGGAACGGCTTCATGTCCCGGAGACCGAGCACGATGATCTCAATGTACGCGCGGCGCATCTTGGGCACGATCGGGCGCGGCACCGGCACAACCGCGCCGGGCATGTCGAGGCAGTAGACAACAACCGAGGCGAAGATTGCACCTTCCGTGTCGCCTTCTTCTTGCTGCATGAGGTTGAACCATTTTGGTTCCGGGAGATTCTCTTCAGCGTCGCCGATCGGCCGCACGTTGGACGCGTTGAACGAGATGAACGCCGACCCCATGTAGTCGTGGCCCGACTCGCTAATGCCATTGTCGTGGTCCATCAAGCGCACAATGACCTGCGGCGAAAAGTGCAGCATGTCGAGCGGCGGTAGCATCACGTCGTACACAAATGTTTGGTACCACATTGGGTCGCGCGTCTTCTTGCGCACTTCGCTGCGCTGCTCGTCGGCGCCAAAGCGCACCTTGGCGTATGGGTCGCTCAGGCCGTTGTCGTCGAGCGCGGGCAGCTGCCGGCCTTGGTACAGGTTGACGTGCACCTGGTACGCGTGGCGCTTCTCCAAGAGGCCCTGGTCGAACGTCGTGTCCCACGCTTGCCGCGTCGCTTTCGCGGTCGCTTCCGTGCCCATCGCAAGTGCGAGGAGAACGTTGCCAGGAAACACTTCGTCACCGAGCGCGTCGACGCACGCATCTTCCTTGAGCGTCACCCACGCCGGCGGCTTCTCCATGCGTTCGTCCAACAGATGCTTGGCCTTGTAACGCTTGTACGCGATCTGCTTGCGCGGGTTCATCTTGTCGCCAACCGCGCCCTTGCAGAGGTACACAAACACATCCGGAATCTGGTCCGGGTCGGACGGGAACACGAGGTTGTCCGTCTCGGAGAGCTGGTTCCACACCACGAGACCCTTCTCGTTGCGCTGGCGCTCGAACGCGAGCTCCTGGAGCCCGCACGTGATGACGATCTGCATGCGCGACTTCTTCGCAATGTTCATCGACGTCAGCTGCGGAATGTCCGTGCCCGACCCGACAAACGCGCGGATGCGGTACACCGACGTCGGCGGGTACAGGGACTTGGGCAACGGCGTCGCCTTGACCCGGCGGTTGACTTCCTCGAGCTTGGCCTCGTTGGAGCGAATCTCAAACGTCACGAGAATGCGGCCGCGGTAGAACGACGCAGTGTCCGGAAACGTGTTCATTTGCGCCTCGACCGTCTCGGAGGCGTTGAGGATGTTGCCCTTGGCTCCTTCGAGCGGCGCGCCGTACAAGTTGAGCCACATGGGCGACGCGCTGCCCGTCTTTGCCAGCAGCTTCTTGATCAAACGCAGCGACTGGTACGCATGCGCGACAACCTCGTCCTTGCCAATCTTGTCCCAGTCCTTGACGCAGAGCGTAATGTTGTTGGCGAGGCCCGGCTCGCGCAGCACCATCCAGAGCTCGTCGTTGAACGCGGGGTTGAGCAAGTGGCGCTCGCCGCTCTTGGTCTTGACACGCGTGCGGACGCCGTCGTTGCTGCCGAGGCTCACCTCAACGTACGCGTCGAGGCCCTGCTTGAGGCCGCCGAGGAGGCTGTCCATCGGCACGAGGTGCTCACCGACATGGACGGTCGCCACGAGAAAGTTGACCTCTTGCTTGATACTCGGCGGCATCATGACGCCGTCGACGCCCGAGTCGGCCGGACCGAGCGGCGGCGGCGGCGAAAACTTGTCGCCGGGCCCGAGGATCGTGATCGAGACGCGGAGGTAGCCCTGCACCGAGTCGTGGCCCGGCGCAATGAGGCCGAGCCACTGGTTGCAGATCTGGTGGTTGATGTGCGAGTAGACAAACGACGTGTCGAATTGGGTCTCGCCAATGAGCTCGGCGCGCGTGAGCGTGTTGGCGTCCATGACCCGGAGCTTGATCGCGCCCATCTCGACAATCTCCTTGTCGAGTTCACGAAAGTTGAAGATGAGAATGTCGTCCCAGACCGCCGAGAGCGTCTGCTTCTTGGTCGCCGTGTGCTGCGTCTGGTCGAGGACGTCGACAAACACGACCGGGTCGGACGTGCCCGTCGCGTCCTTGCCCACGAGATCCCGGGCTTCAATCACATGCACTTGGATCGAGTAGTCGCCCGACTTGATGTTGATGTCTTCGAGCGCCTTCTTCTCTTCCTGCAGCGCTTTTTCCTTCTCTTCGGCCTCCTTCTTGAGCTCGTCGTCGCTCTTCTTGGGCACGTCCTTGGCCGCCGTCGGGTCCAAGCCCTCCTCATCGTCGTCGCCAGCCTACACGCAGTACATGAGACACGACACATCATACTCAAGACTCGTACGTCGGGTGCACTCATGACGTTCTTGACCTTGTCAAAGATCCCGCCCTTCTTCTTCTTGTTGGACTCGATGATCTCGTTGACGTTGGCCCGGTGCACCCACTGCAGCGTCACGGTGAGCACGCCGAGGCCGTCGACCTTCTTGAAGCGCTTGTCGCACAGGTCCAGGTCCAGCGTCTTCTTCTTCCCGTCCGCGAGCGACTCCATGTGCACTTTGGCGCGGCCGATCACGTCGTTCGAGAGCATGTCAAAGTCCTCGACGACAAACAGAATCTCTTGCGTCGCGTCCGTCATCGGCATCCGGAACGACTCGTTCCAGACCGGCGTCAGCGTCTTGGGCATCGTCGTCGTCGTAAACTTCTCCTTCTGGCACGATATGATCACGAGCGGGTCGCTCGA